ATATATATATATATATATATATATATATACACACACACACACTATATATAATTGAAATGTCATTTAAAATCCTTAGTCCAGTGCTGGAAAGTCCCTGAAACTCTTATCTCCAATTAATCACCAAAAAAATAAATGCACAAAAAACTGGAAGTGGCCCAGTGCAGGTGGCTCACGCCTGCCTGTAACCCTAGCTACTCTGGAGGCTGAGATCTGAGGATCGCATTTCGAAGCCAGCTCAAGCAGGAAGGTCTGTGAGATTATCTCCAGTAAGCCACTCAGAAACCCCGAAGTGGCACTGTGGCCCAAGTGGTAGAGCTGAGGAGCTGAGACAAAGCACCCAGACCCAGAGTTCAGGCCTGGAAACAACAGCAACTGGAAGTGGAGCTGTGGCTCAAAGTAGTAGAGTACTGGCCTTGAGTGAAAAAACTCAAGGACAGCATCCAAGCCTTGAGTTCAAGACCCACAACCGTGTCCCACCTCCCCAAAAAACTCACCCTTTCACTCACCCCTCAGGAAAGTACAGAGGAGTCTTCAACTGACATGGTTACTCTTGTTAGCTGATTTTTTTAAAAGTGTGTGCTTGAGTATTGTGGTGTTTTCTAGAATCTTCTACCATAATAGAATGCGAACATAAATATGTGTCTTTTCCAGAGATTAATTCATTTGCCCTCGTTATCCTGAAGCATTATTTTTCAGTAAGTGGATTTTTGGGGAAAACCCAAAATTCTCTTTGCACCTATATGCAGGAGCACAAGAAAAAGGTTCTTTGTTGACTTGCTTTTTCTTCTTTGCACATAGTGTTTAATAAATGGTGTTTCAGATTTGTTGATCAAAAAGTCAATGGTGTTGACTTTTTGAAAACTTTTGCATTTAAATATTACCTAAAGCTGGTATTCCTTTAGAATTTAATATTTTAACTCCATATAAAATTTTGTTTATAATTTAAAATTTTAGAATTGTACATTGTCTTTAGAATGTTGAATATTTTAAACATAAGCTTTGAAAAGCCAAGTGTTTGTTGATAACTTTTTAGAGTAGAAATTAAAATTCCACTGCAATAAGTAAACTTCTGCAAATTAGATTATTATATTGCATTGGCTGAAGAAAGGCATATGATAGCTGAAAGAGCTATAAAGCCTTGTTCAGTACCAGATGAATGCTCTCTAAATGAAAATCAGTAAGAGAAATCATAGTGCACTTTCCAATAGTGTGTAACCTACCAGAAATTGCTATATACATACAGTAATCCAGATAGTATTGCTGTAAATGTAAGCATGTATACTAAGACAGGATTGAGAGCCAAGAAATAAACATATTTATGGCCAATTGATTCTTTTGAAACAGTCTTACTATGTAACCCAGATTAGAATTAAACTTGCTTTTTAAAATATTTCTAAGAAATAGTGACCAGAAATGCATGTAGAAATAGAATTTGTTTGGGAAAAAAATACACTGAAGATGGGCTGGCCTTAAAAAAAAAAAACTGGCCTGGGAATGCAGTTTAGTGGTAGAGTGTTTGCCTAGCATGCATGAGGCCCTGGGTTCGATTCCTCAGTACCACAGAAACAGAAACAGCCACAAGTGGCCCTGTAGCTGAAGTGGTAGAGTGCTAGTCTTAAGCAAAAGCAGCTCAGGGACAGTGCCCAGGCCCTGAGTTCAAGATCCATAACCAAAAAACAAACAAACAAACAAACTTCAGGTATGACAAAAGTTAGCCAGAAAGCTCTCCAGGCTGAGGGAGACATATTGAGTAGTGTTTAAAATCTTCAAGAGAAGGATTTGGGAGACTTTAAAGAATACAATTCCACTAGATGGAATTCTTTTTCATTCAAAAGCTGGCTCTGCAGGCAGCAGAGATAGGAGGATCTCTGTCTGAGGCCAGCCAGAGAAAAAGAAGGAGAATTTACTGGAAAATAAAGGAAAAATGATGAGGGTTGTAATTCAATGATAGAAAGCTTGTTGGGAAGCTCAAAACTCCTGAGTTCAACATTCAGTGCAGTCAGAAAAAAGCAGTTCCTCTCTTATCCTCAAGAGGGCACCAGAGGAGCATGCCACAGTCCTGACTCTGGAACAGTTAACAATTTTGTTCAATTCTGACCTGGGTTCTTTTTTGTTGTTGTTGTTTTGTTTTGTCTTGTTTTGTCGGTTGTGGAGCTTGACCTCTGGGCCTGGGTGTTGTCCCTGAGCTCTTCAGCTCAAGGCTAGCGCCCTGCCACTTAAAGCCACAGCACCACTTCCTGACCTGGGTTCCTTAGGATGCTGGAACTCTTTCTTTTTTGAGATGAGCAGGGGATTTGCTTGAAGGTGGCGTTTTAAGTCTGAAAATGTAGCTGGAAGAGACAAGTGAGGCTCTCCAGGAGATAGCCACCAGTTATGGCCAAAAGAAGAGCAATGACACATGCTAATTTTTCCCTCTCCCTCTGTGACTCAGATTCACATTTCACACAGACCTTTGTCTGTGTTTTCTTTCCTCTGTCTTGATCTCTAGCCAGCAGACTGTCCACAGTGTTTTCCCATTCCTGTTCCCAAGCCTGAAACACACTGGGTAAAAACATTAGCTGGAATTGTTATGTGTTTACTGGATAAATTCCTCCACAACAAATACCTTTGCAATCAATATCTCTATTTTGTCAGATGTCCTCCATAGTCTGTTTATGTCTAATCTACTTCAAAACAGAATCCATGGAACAAAATTCTGTTATATACCATGTACTTAGAAAGTCCAGTTGAACTACTTGAAAAGAGATTTGACCTGTGATACTGTCTGTTCCCCAAGGAGCTTAAGAAATAAGTAGAGGCAAAAACAGTCCCCACTGCAAACTCAGAGCATATTTTCCCACATACACTCATTCTGAAACTCTGGTTCCCAGGATATCTTTGTAAGGACTTTTCCCCATAGTCTACCAGACTGACTGAGACAAGAAAGGAGATAAACGGCAGATGGGATGCACAGAAGCTTTCCCAGAAGAAAAGGATGGGAATTCTAGGGTGCTGTAGGAAGTGATGAGGGAAGCAGAAACAAAAATAACATTCCAAAAGGGCTGCTGTACCAATATACTAATGAGGATCAAGTCTTCAAGATCTACAGTACCACCAGGCACCAGTGGCTCATGACTGTGATCCTAGCTACTCAGGAGGCTGAGATCTGAGGATCATAGTTCAGAGCCAGCCCCAGCAGAAAAGTCTGCAACTCTTAATCTCCAGTAAACTACTCAGAAAAAGCCACAAGTGGTGCTGTAGAGCACTAGCCTTGACCACAAAGAGGCTCAGGCCCTGAGTTCAAGCCTCAGTACTGACACACACAAAAAAAAAAAAAACTACAGTACCTAGATCATATGACAGAATTCATCAGGTGGCTACCCATATGTCAAGCCTGTAATCCTGACTACTTAGGAGGCTGAGATCCAGACGATTGAGATACAAGGTTGCACTGAAATACACGTGATATCTCTTCTCAATCAGTAGGTAGGTATGGTAGTAAGCAACTATGCCGTTACATGAGAGTCTAAAATTAAGAATATCATGGCTCTAGGCCAACCTAGGCAGAAAAATACTCATCTCAGTGGAAGAAGCTGAGCATGCTGGTACATGACTGTCCAGAAGTGTAAAATAAGCCGGGCGCCAGTGACTCACGCCTGTAATCCTAGCTACTCAGGAGGCTGAGATCTGAGGATTGCTGTTCAAAGCCAGCCCCAGCAAGAAACACATGAGACTCTAATCTCCAATAAACCACTTAGAAAACCAGAAGTGTCACTGTGGCTCAAGTGGTAGAGCACTAGCTTTGAGCTGAAGAGCTGAGGGACAGCGCCCAGGTCCAGAGTTCAAGCTCCACGACCAAAAAAAAAAAAAAGTGTAAAATAGATGGATCATAGGCAAGGTATGAGCCTCAGCAGCAAGTTAGGCACTGTTTCAAAAGTAATCAGTGCAAACAAGGGCTGGAGGAATGACTCATAAGTAGAATGCCTTCCTAGCAAGCAAAGGGCCCTGAGTTCAAACCTAAGTAACTCCAAAAAGAAAAGAAAAGAAGAATGCTGGGCACCAGTGGCTCACACCTACAATCCTAGGTATTCAGGAGACTGATGGGAAGATCAGAGTTCAAAACCAACCCAGACAGGAAATTGTGAGGATCTTATCTCCATTAAACTACAAAAAAAAAAAAAAA